CTTAGGCCCAATCCCCCGGGGAGTGGGCCTAAGCCAGCAGGTGATCATCCCCTGAGGGGTCCCAGACTGCGAGAGGGCACAGGCCAGGCTGAGGGACCCTCCATCCCCCCCTGAGTGCACAAATTTTTGTGCACCGGGCCTCTAGTATATAAAAGGTGTCAATTTTCATTTTATATAAAGTGTCGTCCCTATAGTTGAGCAGGTTTCTTCATTTATCACGATCCAATGAATAGTTTTTGTCTCTCTTAAGCCAGGCGGAAATGAAGACTGTAAAAGCTTTAGAGGTCCATTTGTACATAACTAGAGGCCCGGTGCCCGAAATTTGTGCACTTGGGGGGGGAGGTGTCCCTCAGCCTGGCCTGTGCCCTCAGTCTGGGAACCCTGTGATCAATCGCCCCAAATAGATAGGCCCCACACACCCGGCCAGGGCTCTTCGATGGATCATCCCAAAGAGGTAGGCCCTGCCCACCCGCCTCAGTGCTGCCGAGGGTAGCCTGGGTCTCCCTCTTTGGGGCAATTGATTGTGCCCCACAGAGGGAGGTCCCACCCACCTGCTGCAGCCCGCTGGTTGGTGGCCTGGGCCTCCCTCTTTGGGGCGATCGTGGAGCCTCCCGATTGATCCATCGCCCCTCTGGCTGGTGGCCTGAGCCTCCCTCTACAGGGCGATCATGGGGCAATGGCTAGGCCCCCAACCAATCACATCACACCCGCCTTGGCTGGCCTGGCGCCAGTGGGTGTCATAGCATGATCATCAGGAAGGATATCCGGAAGGTCGTTTGACTGTCCGATCTAATTAGCATATTATGCTTTTATTATTATAGATAATCTAATAGCTGCTTCTTAACACTAAATATGGCTTTCACTGCTGATCACATTTTAAAATCCAATGTACAGTAGGAACTGCTTTAATTATTAGCTCAAAAGATTTTTAACTATCCAAGATTTATTTACTGTTACATAAAGGACACACTAGAAACTTAGGTATTCCTCTCCAAAACTGAGTTTCTCCAGAATGTGATTCCTTATTGCTATACAAGAAAACCATGATAGCAAATTTTACCTTTTGTTTTCTTCCTTCAATTACTTGAATTTGGGCCTTATTCTCCTGGTAAATTTTCTTCACTTTGTCCAACTCCTGAGAAACATTCTGCCAGAGTTCCAAAACATAATTTTTTTCCTATAAAACAAAAATATTTGAGAACTCATTAAATTATTAACAGGCTACTTACTGCATAGTACAAATTAACCATATTCTTTTGCAGAATGAACTTTCGTATAAAAGTCACAAAATTAAAAGAACATGGACAACAGTGTAGTGTTTGTGGAGGGGAAGAGAGATGGGTGGAGGTGGCAGAGGGTATAGGAGGATAGATGATGATGGGAAAAAGTAAAAATAAAGAAAAAAATGAAATAGAACTTCTGTAAAGAGGGTGTAATTTAATATTTTTGGTGATATGAAAATGTATTAATAATTTAGAGAACAAAAGGTGAAAATTTCTTTGAAATTTTTTTTATTTAGATTTCATAGGCAAAATTAAAACTCTTAAATCAGAGATAGGGATGAAACCACTCTCCTTGTTCTTCAACACAGTGTAAGCCTTAGAAATTACTGACAAAGAAAATTGCCCCTGGCAAAATACAACTTTTTTTATATAATTGTAAAAGTAATAAATGTAATAAATGTAGAAAATTGGGAAAATACAGAAAAAGAAAAGAAAAGAAGAATTACCTATAATTTTATCAGCTGATAGTAAATATTGCTAACATCTAGATATAATAATTTTTATAAACGTTAGATGTATTGATATTTATAAATGTGATTTTGGGGGAGTATTCTGTTTTTGTTTTAACAAAATTGAAAATGATACAGTTTAATGTTTGTATTATACTATTTTCACCTGGCATCTTACAACGAGAAGCTTCTCAAGTCATTATTCTTTCAATATAGCCATTCTCAAAGTGTGCTTCAGGGATCCTTGAAGTCAAAATTATTTTCATAATAATATATACATACTATTTTCCTTTTTGACTCATCTTCTGATGAGTGTAGAGTGGAGTTTCCTGAAGTTTATATGATGTGCTGTGTGATGCTGTCATCACTAATGGTTACTGGAATGTGGTCCCATACTTCCATTCGTTTTCAAAAACATGTTTAAATTTGAAATACAATAAATACTGAAAGCTACACAACCTACAAACACAAAAATATTTTTGGGGTCCTCAATAATTCTTAGGCATCCTGATGAGGAGTAATGAAACCAGACTCACTGAGAAACACTAAAGGAGCATGTAGAGAGCATTATTTTCTTAATGCTCTCCCCAGCCACTGACATAGGGTCCCTCAGCAAGTTGATGGCAGAGTCTGGAAAAAAACCTTGTGGGGAAATTTGTAGCCAATCTGCTTTCCTCCTTTTGAGTGCTCAAACTTGGACCTCACCAAATCTTCTACTAAATAACTGATCCAAATGTAGCAAAAAAGTGGGACCATCTTCAGAGAAATGACAGGAGACCAAGCCAGATGCAGATGGAAAGGCAAAGAGAGGGAAGACAGGAGGAGAAAAGGGTACGGAATGAGAGTATGGTTTTAAAAAGAAAGTAAAAAAAATATGTTAAAAAAGAATAAGTAATTTTCAAGTTTATAAAATCTAGCACTGGACATTATAGCAACAAAACTACTATAAGAGAGATGCTTTTTAGAGACCTGTTATTTTGTTTGCTTGATTTTGTTTTTTGAAACTACAACATAGTAGTTTGAAACTACAAACTACTATATATTTAGTCTACATAAACATTTATAAGTCCTTCCTGATAACACTAGTCTAGAACAAAGTAAAGAACATGACTCCCTATTTTTTCCCCTTCTAATACTTTTAAAACTCAATATTAGATACATGCTCCTTATCAAGGTAAATATAGCTAGCTGATTGATCTAAAATATCACTTTCATAAGTCAATTCCAAAACCAAATTTCCAAGTAATAAAAATATGACTCTTCATATATAACCATAAAATCAAAATTGTAATACAGAATTTCTAGTCCCCTTATATAAATGAAGAAACTGAGGCACACAGCTAGAAAGTAGAATAGGGATTCAAATCCATACAAGAGATGAGATACCTCGGATATAAAATTATAAGTTAGAATAAAATTCCCTTAGGTATAACCACAAAAAATTAGTATTGAAAATAGGATATATAGAACATGGCTTCCTAAATAGTTCAATTACTATGAGGGAGGATAAAACAAGAAAAAATGTAATTGTAGAAGTATCACTTTAGAAAAATATAATTCTATAATCTTTGAAAATGGAAGACAACAGTACCAGAAGAAAAATAAAAAACATAAATTTACAGAAATAGATAACTAATGATTTTTCTCTTTAAAAATTTCCTTGACATTAAATATTTTTATAAGATAAATTCATGTTAAAAGCTTTATGATTCAATTAAAATATTTATAAGAATAAAAGCTAAATATGCTAATTAGAACTGATGGCCAAACAGCTGAACGACCATCCAGACGACCTTCCGGACAAAGCCGGGTTGTAAGGGCTGAGCCCCTTGCACAAATTTCATGCATCGGGCCTCTAGTTTATACTAATAAAAGGGTAATATGCTAATTACACTAGGTCAACCAGACATCTGGACATCCGACTTCCTTCTGAACAAAGCCACGGTGGCGGGGGCTGAGGCAGAGGTGGATAGGGGCAATCAGACCAGCAGGGGAGCAAGCAGTTAGGGTCAGGGTTAGGGATCGGGCCTAAACCAGCAGTCAGACATCCCCCGAGGGATCCCAGATTGGAGAGGGTGCAGGCCAGGCTGAGGGACACCACCCTCCATACATGAATTTCGTGCACTGGGCCTCTAGTTCATAAATAATGATTAACACAGATTTTTAAAAATATATTTTTATTGATTTCAGAGAGGAAGGGAGAGGGAGAGAGAGGTAGAAACACCATTAATGAGAGAGAATCATTGATCAGCCACCTCCCACATGCTCGATGCCACAGGAATTGAGCCCACAACTTGGGCATATGTTTCAACCGTGCATCAAACTGAGACCTCCTTGGTTCATAGGACAACTCTCAACCCCTAAGCCACACCAACCCAGGCAATTAACACAGATTTTACAAACTCTCTGTTTATTCAGGATATAATTTAAAAATATGTAAATGTCACTTACTTTATTGGCTAGTTGTAACTGTTCTTGAAGATTCCTGACTGTTTCATCATCTATGTATATATCATTTCCCATCTCTGTGCCAAAGGGAAGGGCCTCCAACTGTTTTACAACAGCATCTTTTAATTCACTGTGCAACCTTTAGAACAGTTAACATAGTAATAATTTAAATTAATTTTAGTAACAGTAATTAATATTTAAGGTTAATTAAACAAACATTTGGGTTCAAAAATCATTCTTTACATAAAAAATCATTTTTAAGCAGACCAAAAAAATTAGAAGTGTTTAATTGCCATTAAATACTGTGCTATAAGAATGAAAATATCTTACAATTTCAAAAGCATTAAATTGGTCATATGAATTCAAGTGTAATCAGTTTGTGTCTTTAAACTTTCAAAAAGGTAAAATTCAGATATTATACCTTATTAATTGATAAAACAAGACATTCAGAAAAATATTTAAAATGTGATTGTGTTTTCATACAGTCAATAAAATGGAAATGGGATATGAAATCTTATAGAATTATTTGTTGTTTTCTTCATTGTGTTTCACCAAGTTTATATGACCTCTTACTCATCTCAGTTAATAAACAGAGAATAAAATTGTTGCTAGTTATGAAATCAAGATTATTGAGGCTTTATTTTTCAGCACCTTCTTACATAAGCTTGATCATAATTCTGAAAACCTTAAATTCAACTTAATTTGAAGTAGAATTTAGGGTTTTCAGAATTACAGTCAAGCGACCTAGAGAGTATTTTGCTAAATGAAATAAGCCAATCAGAGAAAAACAAGTACCATATGATTTCACTTACATGTGGAATCTAATGAACAAAATAAACTAACAAAGTGGAGACAGACTCATGGATAAAGTTGTCAGAGGGGAGAGGTTGGGGATGCTGTGTGAGAAGGGTGAAGGGATTAAGCAAAGAAAAAAAGAAAAACTCAGGGCACAGAGAACAGTATGGTGATTGCTAGAAGGAAGAGGGATTGGGAGAGATAGAAGAAGGTAAAGAGGGGATTAATGGTGACGGAAGGAGACTTGACTTAGAGTGGTAAGCATACAATACAATATACAGATGATGTACTATAGAATTGTATACCTGAAACCTATATAATTCTATTAACCAATGTCACATCAATAAATTCAATTAAAAATATTAATCTAAATTATAGATAGTTCATACTTTAAAACAACTAAAAGAAAGCACAGGAAGGTACAAATTAATAGACTGATTAAGTGTTTTATTTTAAAATGATACAAACTTAGGAGGAAAAAAGTTTCATAATATCAGAAAAACTTCAAATCAATTCATATAATTATAAGCATAAAATATTTACAGTAATTATATAAATAATAAAACTAAAAACGAACATATTGTTACAAATATATATACCTATAAAAAAACTTTCAAAATAAAATGACAAATACAAAATTCAAGATAGTGTTAACCTCTTGCAGAGGGGAAGAAGGATGGGATAGAGAAGGAACACATGGATAGATGCATCAATTTGGGAACATAAGCGTAAAAATATCTATGATGTTAACATCTTCAGCAAATTTGACATAGGAAGTTTTGAAGCTTGCTGTCAATACAACAAAAGAGCATACATATCAAATCACATATATGTCAACATATGTGTAACTCCATCTATTGAAAAAAATCTGCATTATTAACTGGTACACCTAGTAAGTTGGATGAGTGCTTGACAGGTTTTCGTTTTATCAGTATATTTTATAACATACATACTATACACTATACTATTAATAATTGCTAACATTTATATGGTGCTCATTATGTGCCATATTTCATGTACTTTATAGACAAAAGAAAACTACAGTACAAAGAGGTTAAGTAACTTGTCCAAGGTCACACAGCTAGTAATAGAGCCAGGAATCAAATAAGAAATCAGGCCCAAGAGACCACATTCATAAACAGTATACCACATAAATAAAATATTAAATAACAACAAAATTTATCTAAGACAATAATAAAATAAACAATAGTTAATTGATATACCTTTCATTTTCCTTGATGACACTTTCAAGTTGTAGTTTCATCTCACCCACTTGTTTCTGAAAGAATAAAATATCATTGTAGTCATACATTTCCCAATTAGATCTCTATGAAGTCTCCATTCGTATGCAAGCAATCATATTCTATCACACTAGTCTCCAGATAAGAATAATTATTCTTTACTTCTAACAAGCAATCTTAAATATGAATATTTTAATGATACACAGAACTTGAGGAAACATTCACTTTGAATAAAATATAAATATTTTATAAATGTAATTCCTAGGATTTGTAGATGTTTATAGAAAAACAGATAAAAGATACTCTTCATTATGTCACTATAACAAATATCAGATGCTCCCTATACCGTGAATGCATATTTTAATTAATTCATCTTAGTTTAGGTGAAGCCCATGTAAGTGCCTGTATTTCAAAAGTCAAATGTTAATGGTGAAAAGGAAAATATGTGAAGATCTTCTTTAGCATTATTTCATTCAGGCTCTGATTCACTACTTTTATTAACTGTCTAAACTCTGCACTACACAAGGCTGCTATATAAACCAATGTAGTCACTAACATATATTTTAGTAGGGAAGAGGGTAAAAAATGACTAAAATACAAAGAAGAATAAAATATATTCTGTAAAGGGAATGAGATAAAGGTAGGATTAATTTTCCCTGAGGGATAACAGAATTTTAATAGGAAAGAAAGGGCATTTCAAGTAGGGAGAAATGTAAGGAATAGCAAAGAAGCAAAAGAATGTATAACCCAATCGGAGTGAATGGAAAGTGAAGAACAGGAAGAAGGCCATGTAAAATCACAATTAAAACAAAACTGCAACCAACTCCTGATCAGCCCAATTGTCTTGACTGGGTACTGAGCCTAAAGGAGAGGAGGCAAGCCTGGAGGAACCTGGCAAGGAAAGGTGGGAAAGGCGATGCTCCCAGCCTTTCTCTCCTCTTGCTGCCAAAGAAGCTGAAGGCAGCTTGGCCCAGAACATCAGTACCAGCTAATTCTACCTACAAAGCTGGCTCAAACAGTGAACCTTTCCCAGCTCCCTGCTGTGCCTGAATCACAATTAAGCCAAAAGGAAGGAATTTACTACCAGATAATTGAGAACTGACCATACATGGAACAATGGCAGTGAGAGATAAAATTAAAAAGACAGGTGGCAGGTCTTGAATGCCACACTAACTAGGAGGTCTAGATTTTAGTGTAGCAATTATTCCCACTTTGTAATTTTTAAAAAACTGATCTTTAAAAGTTGCAACAATGTCAGAATATCTTGAAAACTATTTATTACTCAAATAATTCTAAGGTGGAAGCTGTATGCATTAGCTAGGATTAAAGGTGGATCATTACAGTCACACTAAATTTTTTTTGTGTAAAATATTTCATATTACTTAGAGGTTGGAAGGAAACTAAATCTCACATCATCAAATTTTCCCCTATTATTTACATTTTCTGGAATAAAATCTTTTTTTTAAATGTGATTTTATTGATCTCAAAGAGGAAGGGAGAGATAGAAACATCAATGATGAGAGAGGATCATTGATTGGCTACCTCCTGCATTCCCCCCACTGGGGATCGAGCCCAAAACCCAGGCATGTGCCCCTGACCAGAAATCGAACCCAGGACACTTCAGTCCGCAGGCTGACGCTCTATCCACTGAGCCAAACTGGCTAGGGTGAGGAAGAAAATCTTTCATATAGAAAACTATAGTGATACTTCTCTTGCTTTCAAGATATACTATTTTTTGACTGGGTCAATAAGATAAATCATAAGTACTAGTTCTAATCAATAATATCTATGTAAGCAACAGTTCTTAGAAGTAGCTATCACCCTATTTTTATCTATCTAAAGTAGCAACTATTCTTATCATAGACTCTTGGGCTTTCAGCTTCTCTTGTCATTATTCAGTAATCACTCTCAGATGGAGAATGCCAAATGGAAAAAATAAAGTTAAACACCTTAGTAAAATAGCTGATTAAATCAGACAGATTATGAAAATTTAAAATTTTAAAAGTTTAATTTCAAGATAACAAGCTACTCCATTTTATAACAATTGAAACTATATGTCATTACAGCAATTCCAAAAGAGGGAATCCAGCAGAAGCACACTGGTCCTAAGAATAAAAGCAAAATGCCATTTGTGCAAAAGAGGGCTTTCTGTTGCTACTGTCCATTAGAAAGATTAAAAGACATTACTATGGTTGGCTCAAAAATTAAATGACCACAGGCATATTTTCTTCTTTTTGCATTACATTAAGTGAACCCTGCTACTGTGTCACAACTAAATTGACTTAGGGATTAGTATCTGAGCCAAACAAAATGATGAGTATATTAACACTCTAAGAGACCATCACTTTGGTGGACTTCGCTGGAACATATAGCATCTATTTAAGAAATGCTTCTACTGTGTGGTTATCCAACAATCAGAAAGGTCAAAATTTGCGAGGAAAATGAAAAATAATTCAGATCAAAGAAACAGATGACAAATATTAGGTATACTCTAAAAATGTAGTTAATTGAAATTCAGATAGTATCCCAAATAATAATGTGCTATACCTCTAGTTCTTCATGAACTTGCTATATACCCTAACCTTAAAAATGCTGGGACCCATGATAATCTGTCGGTATGGACAGCTTCCTCGGTTTCTTCACTCCCCTTCGCCCCTAAAATAAACCCTAATTACTAAGAAGTGTTAGAAAAAAAACTGCCACAGCTTAGCCCTATATTAGAAGTGGATCAATAGCTTTTAAAATCTGATAGACACAATATTTGAAATTGGGGAGAAAATTCAGAATCCATATAATGGGAAATACAGATAAAATGAGGGTAAAGAGAAAGGTCTAAAAAGATGTAACGTTTTGGGTATTTCTAGGAGGAAAATAAAGATGTAAGCAAATAATGGATTAATGGATGTTTCTACACAATTAAGAGATGCTCCTGCCAGGCAGCAGGAGCAAGGAAACACTGTATTAAAAAATAGACCAAAGATAATCTCCAAACACACACACACACACACACACACACACACACACACACACACAGCTAAATATTTTCTTTCTTATCAATGTTTTTTTTTAAAGGGAGTCTTATTTTACTTTTTCTTATCTTATAATAAAATATTACAAAAAGCTTGATAACTATGATGTCATACCTGATAATATTTCACCTGCCCATTTAGCTCTTCCAGATGCTTATCATACTCAGTAATAAGAGGTGCTGAAAAACTAAAGAAAAAATACCAAAAAAGGAGTACTCTGTTTAATCTGGTTTAACAGCTATGTAACTTGTGAAATATATTGTACATCAAAACTTTTACTATTCTTATTATAATTTTCCCCACAGCAATCAATACTTTGCCTTTTCCCTAAACCAGGGGTTCTTACCCTTAGCTAAATTAATATTCTGTGCTGAATAATTATTTGCTGTTGGGAGATGACCTGGGCACTGCAGGACATTCAGTGGCATCTCTGGCCCCACCCAATAGATGACAGTAACATCCTCACCCTCCACAGTTGTGACAAGCAAAAATTTTTCCAGTCATTGTCAAATATCGGGGGAGGGGACAGAAGCAAAAGCACCCCAGTTGAGAACCACTCTTACAGACTATGATACTGGCTTTCTTTCCCCTTTTCAATTCAATGACAGATCATTCAAATCTAATTACTGATAGCAGACTACAAAATAAACATTCCTAATCTACGAGAATTATTTTGACAATAATTAAATATAATTAAGAAAACAACATTTTTCTGGTAACTCAACCTTACCTTTGGTCAACTACTGAGTTTCCTAATATGTCACCTCCCTCTCCTTTGAAGGCAGCTTTCTGTAAGAGAGAATCCTGATTCTTAAAATGTTTTCTCAGATCATTCTAGCCAAAACTGACAGTAGTATAAACTAAATACAATTAAAAATTTTATAACCGCAGAAACTCTATTAATGCAATTAAAAAAGAGAGAAAGGAAAAATCATCTTTAGATTTGGTAAATTTTAACACCTATACATAATAAAAAAACTTGGCGTACTAAAAAACAGGAATAACTTTCTCAAATTGTTAAAAAAATATATTGACCAGAAACCTACATCAATTATTGCTCTTCATGGTAAAACATTAGAAACAATGCATTAAATTAATATAAGTATGCTTTCTACTGTTAATGAATTATCTTATAAAGGTCTTTTCTTATGGGTATAGTAGAGGCCTGGTGCACGAAATTCATGTACAGGTAGGGTTCCTAGGTCTCGCCGGCGATCAGGGCCGATCTGTGAGGTGACTGGTGGGACAATTGGGGAGGGGGGGCCCACTGACACCTGCCTTGGCTGGCCTGGTGCCACCCGCTTGCCAGCCCTGCCCCCTGCTGCCGCCGCCAGTTGCCTCCCTCTGCGGAGCAACTGGCAGGGTGATCAAGGAAGCCCCCCACTGCCACCCGCCTTGGCTGGCCTGGGGCCTGCGGGCTGGGGGCAGCTCCTGCACTGAGCGTCTGCCCCCTGGTGTTCAGTGTGCATCACTGGGAATTGAACCGTGTCCTCCTCGTTCATAGGTTGACACTCTACCACTGAGCCATGCCAGCTGGGCAGTCAGGGCACTCTTCTTGGCTTTTTGCATATAAATTTTGAAAACAGCTTGAGAAGTTTGAAGAAAATATCTTACTACCATTTTTATTGAGATTTTGTTGCAATTAATAACCCTTGCAATCGCCCTAGCTGGTCTGGCTCAATGGATAGAGTGTCGGCCTGTGGACTGAAAGGTTCCGGGTTTGATTCTGGTCGAGGGTGCATGCCTGGGTTGCAGGCTCAAACCCCGGGGGGGAGTGTGCAGGAGGCAGCCAATCAATGATTCTCTCTCATCATTGATGTTTCTATATCTCTCTCTCCCTCTCCCTTCCTCTCTAAAATCAATAAAAATATATTAAAAAAATAACCCTTGCAATCTATGAACATAGTACATCCTTACATTTATTTCACTCTTAATTTTATCAATATTTTATTTTAAATACATATTTTTATTGATAGTATTTCAGATGTTTCCCATTTCCCCCTTTACTTCCTTATCAATATTTTATAGTTTTCAAATCTTATACACTTTTTAAAGAACTATTCCTAAATATTTAATGTTTTTTTTCATGCTAGTATAAGTAGCACCACTATTTAAATTTCATTGTTAATAGTGGATTACTGCTTTTTATTGAAATAAAATTAAATTTGTAATTTTGCCTTGCATCCAAAAACACTGCTAAATTCATTTATTAAGTCTGAAAATTTGAAGATCTTTTTGAATTTCCTATATACACAATCTTATTTTCTGCAAATAATGATAGTTATTTCTTTCTAGTTTTTATGAATTTATTAATCTTGCTCAGATTTCAGTATGATACTAAATAAAGATGATTTTAGTATGCACCCATGCCCCATTTCCATTCTCAGGGGAAAAACTTTTAACCTTTCACTAACAACTAAAATGCCTATTTAGTTTTTTATAGCTAGTCTTCCACTAGGGATCTATTCCTAGTTTGCTGAAAATTTTTATCATGATAGGGAATTGAACTTTATCAATTATTTTTTACAGCTCTTGGAGTCAGATAATTTTCTTCTTTTTCCTTTTATGTATTTTCAAATGTTAAACCATCTTTGGTTTAACATTACCTCCCCTCTGACTATTGCAATCCATGCAGTGAAAGGCAAGACCTGTGACCAGTGGGGCCTTGAGAAGCCACATGTTCTGAAGAATCAGCTACAGGAGGAACCTTAGGCAGTAACATTATACTACCACTAAAAATAAGAGATAGGGATGAATATTTCATTGTATGACTGTAAGAATGGTACATGTAAGAGAAGAATGTATACTTTCAGAGAATTAAAGGAGCTATTATTTCACCATAGAATACACTATTAAGTAAGGTTAGATGTGTCCCTACTTGGTATGTTACCATTAGGCTTTAAGGAATTATAATCACAATGCATAATATGTAGGTACATCTAATGGGCTGACTAGAGTCACTATTTTATCTGGTAAAATCATCTTTTATTATCAAATCAGCCATAGCTTCCAGGAGATATGATGCAACACCTTGCCCAGAAGTCTTTTCAGGATTTAAAATGAATCTTTTGTTTGAAACCCCCCTTCAGGCTTCTATAATAATAAAAGCATAATATGCTAATTAAACCAGACATCCTTCCAGACATCCTTCCAAACGACCTTCCAGACGAAGCTGAGGCTGCAAAAGAATTCCGGGTCCCGGGTGCCTGCCGGCAGCCAGAGGGAAACCCAGGTCCCAGGTGTCAGAGGGAAGCTGGTGCCGGCAGCCAGAGAAAGGAAGGCCTAATCTTGCACGAATTTTGAGCATCGGGCCTCCAGTATTCTATAAAACATTACGCAGAAGCAAAAGAACCTGAGAATTAGAGCAAAGTTCAGAGGCTATTGGATTACAAAAGATTTTCTATCACCTAAACACTAATAGTTTCTTAGTTAAATGTTCATAAAAAAATAACATAAGAAAAATATATGATTAACATAGTGAATTAGTGGATGGATTGTTTCAAGATCCTTGGACTCTGGTCTTTGAAAATAAAAACATAGAACAGTAGCTAAATGTTGAGTACACATTAGGGCAAAAAAAAAAATCTATAAGGATAAGTATACTCAAGTCAACCAAACTAACTATTCCTTTTATAATACTTTAAAAACAATTTTGTTTTTAATACCTTAAAAACAAATACAGTTTTAATTATAAGATTCACTTATGTCAAAAGCAAAACACTTTCTGATTGACTCAGTAGATAGCTATCACTAATCTAAGAGCTATAGCTTTTCCTTTTTTTAAGAAAAAATTTATTTTTATTGATTTCAGAGAGGAAGGGATAGGGAGAGAGACATCAATGATGAAAATCATGTCCCCCACTGGGGATCAAGCCCGCAACCCAGGCATATGCCCTTGATCGGAACAGAACCTGGGACCCTTCAGTCCACAGGCTGATGCTCTGTACACTGAGCCAAACCAACCAGGGATATAGTTTTTCTTTTACTATTCTGTAACTCATAGTCCACCAATAGGTATACTTTATGGCTAATAAAATCTAAACAAAATATTTAAATAAAAACATACACCCAAGGAAAGAAATGTTTAAAACAATGCCATGTATTATATACTACTTTAAGCTAGTCTATGCTTCTGTTATAATCTATGAAAACTCAGGGAATTAAAGTTTACAACTGGCTGTATATTGAGAAACAATTTTAGAATGTTTCAAAACAACAATGAATTCTCATTTTAGAACTCAGAAATTTTAACACTATGCATAATATGTAAGCTCCAACTCTAAAAAAAAAGAGGCAATTTCTATGGTCAAAGAACTTACATTCATTAAGCAAAAATAAGCTTTTCTCCTTACATGCATCAAAATTTTAGGTAAAATTTCAAACTGCTGTAGGCAACTTCACATGAGAATAATCCAAAGTAGAATTTATTTCAATTCATATTTATACTAGAGGCCCAGTACACAAAATTTGTGCATGTGGGGGGGAGAGGGCCCTCAGCCCAGCCTGCACCCTCTCGCAATCCAGGACCGCTGGCTCCTAACCACTCACCTGCCTGCCTATGTGGTCACCTGTAACTGCTCTCCCCTGCCCACCTGATCCTCCCCTACCTGCTTTCCCCTGCCAGCCTGATTGCCGGCCTGATTGCCCCTAACTGCTCTCCCCTGCTGGCCTGATCGTCCCTAACCACCTCTGCCTCGGCCCCCGCCACCGTGGCTTTGTCCAGAAGGACGTCTGGAAGACATACAGTCTATCTGATCTAATTAGCATATTACCCTTTTATTAGTATAGATATTTACAACCAAAATGAACCAGTTTGTTAGACCTTAATTTACATACCTGCATTGTTGAATATTTAGAAACATTTTCCATTTGACACTGCCTGAGAACTTCGTTTAGTCTTTGAGCTGAGAAAACAACAACAAACAATTTGTAGTTCATTGGGTAATGTTCAATTTTTAAAAACTAGAAATAAAGACGTTATTATTTAATATAGCCAATGCAAAACTGCTAGACTCCATTACTTCTTAAAATAAAATGAACCATCAATTTCAACACACCACTTCAAGTTTAAGAATAGGTCTCCTTCTACATCCCTAAACCAACAATTGCCAATGGGAAAAAGAACAACAGCTGCAAAGAACTACTTTTTCTGATCTCATAAATTTTAATTTTCTCTCTCTCCTAGCTTTCTCAAAAAATAGTCTGCACATTTCTTTTTAAATTCCTGCTACTAGAAGTAAAAAGAGTTAAAAAGATTAGTTGTAGCCATATTCTTTAGAACTGTTAAAATCTGCTGAAGTTCTTTTTCAGGACAAACTTTCACATTGATGAGAAACTGCAGGATGAAGAATCCAAATTAAGCAGAAGTGAGCAAGAGAAAAAAAGGAGGTCCAGTAAATACAAGGTGATATTTTTAATTCACAGTAAAACATAGCACCTGATAAACTTAAAATACTCATTCTTTCAATATCTCCTGGAACATCTAAAATTGTCCTGGAGCAAGTCTCAACAACTTTCAAATGACAGAAGCTAAGGACAGCAAGTTATCTGATATAGCACAATTAAAGTGCAGTAGAGAACCAAAAAGTAAATGAAAAAAATCTCCATAAATTTTGAAGTTAAAAAGTTACTTTTCAATAACCCACAGGTCTCAGGAGAAATTAGAAAACAAAGTTGAAAGTACTGTAAACTGAATGGTAGTGAAAACGCAATGCCTTGAACCCTGCTTAAAGAGAAATCTATAGCTTTAATCTCACATATTCTAGAAAATCTTGCATATACTAGGGAAAAAAAGACTGAGGACAATAAACTGCACTTCCACCCCCAAAAGTTAGAAAAAGAACAGCAAAGGAAATCACAAAGATTAGTCACCCTCCAAAAGAAATAGAAAATAAGCATACCCAAAAGAGGATCAACAAATACAATCATTTCAAAAGTTATAGAAAAAACATCTGATGAATGGAACTCCCATTTGACCCAGTGATCCCACTTCTAGAAATATATCCCAAGAAACCAGAAACACCAATCAGAAAGGATATATGCATCCCTATGTTCATAGCAGCACAATTTACCATAGGGAAGATCTGGAAACAGCCTAAGTGCCCATCAGCAGATGAATGGATTAGAAAACTGTGTACATCTACATAATGGAATACTATGCTGCTATAAAAAAGATGGAATTCTTACCATTTGCAACAGCATGGATGGAACTGGAGAGCATTATGCTAAGTGAAATAAGCCAGTCAATGAAAGAAAAATACCACAATCTCACTCATTTATGGATAATAAAGACCATTATAAACTGATGAACAAAAATAGATACAGAGGCAGAGCAGCATCAAACAGACTGACAAACTACAGTGGGAAGCCCAGGGAGGGTTGAGGGGAGGGGGGTAAGAGATCAACCGAAGGACTTGTATGCATGCATATAAGCATAACCAATGGACACAAGACACTGCGGGGTAGGGGAGGCCGGGGAAATGTCAAGGGGGGGGGCGGGGGAGAAAGGAGACATATGCAATACTCTTTGTAATACTTTAAGCAATAAAACAAAATTTAAAAAAAAAAGAAATTCAAGATATATTCATTATAAAGCTTTAGGAATGTAGGAACAGAATGTTCCTTAATATGATAATGGATTTCAATGTAAACACACAACAAACATCATACTTAAGTGTGAAAAATGTTAAAAACTCTCCCTGGGAAACTGGAAATGACAGGAGATAAGTTCTTTTGACATGTGTTCACACTCTACTAGAGTTCTAAGTTAACACAATAAGGTAAATAAAAGAAATAAAAGGTATAAAAATTTAAAATATATAAAAAGTTGTCATTATTTAGAGTTATAAGTGTGTATGTGGTAAATCCAAAAGAACAAAGATAAAATTCTGAGAATCAATAATTAAGTTTAGCAAGATTGTTGGATACAATAAGTCAATATAAAAAAAGTAATTATATTTCTATATACTGGCAACATAAAGTTATAAAATACATTTAAGCCCTGACCGGTTTGGCTCAGTGGATAGAGCGTCAGCCTGCGGACTCAAGGGTCCCAGGTTCGATTCCGGTCAAGGGCATGTACCTTGGTTGCAGGCACATACCCAGTAGGGAATGTGCAGGAGGCAGCTGATCGATGTTTCTCTCTCATCGATGTTTCCTACTTTCTATCCCTCTCCCTTCCTCTCTGTAAAAAAGAAATCAATAAAATATATTTTTAAAAAATACATTTAAAGTAAAATAAAAATGTCAATGTCCAGAAACAAATCTAGCAAAAAAATGTGTAAGACTTGCATAGAAAACTATGGAACATTCAGAAGATTAATAAATTAAAGTCCTGAATACATGGAAAGATAGTCATGGTGTATAGGATTCAGTATTGCCAAGATGTCAATTCTCCCCAAAGCAATGTCTAGGCTCAATGCAATGCCAATTAATATTCCCAAAGAGGATTTTTCAGAAATTTAAAAATCAATTCTAAAATATAGGTGGAAATGCAATGAGAATAGCTAAGATGTTTTTATAAAATAAGAACAGGGGAAGACTTGCTTTACCAGATATCAAGAGCCCAGCCACCATAGCTCAGTGGTTGAGTGTTGAAAGATCTATATATATAAAAGGCTAATATGCAGTGTCCCCTCAGGAGTTTGACTGCTTGCTATGATGTGTGCTGACCACCAGGGGTTGGCACAGAACGAAGGAAGGCCCTGGCCGGCAGCCAGAAGGCCCCGATCGGCCCTGATCACCGGCCAAGCCTAGGGACTCTACCCGTGCATAAATTTCGTGCACTGAGCCTCCAGTTTATTATAAAACTACAGCAATTTAGGTAGCGGGATCGTTATATAAAAATAAACAAAACTGAACAATGGAAGAGAATCAAGAAATATATTCATATATATATGAGCACCTGAATTATGATCAAAGGGGAACTATGATCTAGAGCAGAGCAGGAAAAAGAAGAATCTCTTTGAAAGTGGTTCTGGGTCAACTGGAGATCCTCATGGAAAGAATGAAACATCATCCATAAAAATTAATTCTAGCTGAAATGAAGATCTAACTATGAATGACAACAATAAGTTCTAGAAGAGAACAAAGATAATATCTTCATAACCTTAGGGCAGGGAAAGATTTTTAAAATCAGAATACAAAAAGCACTGGCCATAAAAGAAAAAAACTGATAAATTGGACTACATTAAAGTTAAATACTGTTCATAAAAAAGAGACTGTTAAGAGTATAAAAAGACAAAAGAAGGTTAATAACCTTGACTGATAAGCATTATTCTTAATGGCCCCAAGATGGAAACAAATGTAAATATCCATTAAAAAAAAACTGATCACGGATAAATGTGATACATTTAAAAAATGAAACACCCTGCCCTAACCGGTTTGGCTCAGTGGATAGAGCGTCAGCCTG